TGCACATGCGCCATTGCAAACGATTTTGAGCCATGTCATTCAGGGTCTCTAATCATCGGGTGCTATCATCTCGCGATCTCCAACCAGGTAGTTTACACCTCCCAACATGTCTCAGTCCACTTGTCAGTGACTTCATGGACTTGTGCCATGTTTTGGTTTGGCCGCCCCTAGCTTTCTTCCAACCTACTCCTATACCACTGAACATAGCATGTCGAGGCAGTCGGTCGTTGGGCATACGTAACACGTGTCCCAGCCATCTCAACTGATGAAGTTTCACTACTTCATCAATTGATTTGCCATCCTTACCTAGTACCCGTTTCCTAACAACTGTGTTACTTACTCGATAGTCCCAGGATATACGAGCAATATTTCGAAGACACCTATGATCAAATACTAGTAACCTACGGATATCCTCTACTCTTACCGGCCATGTTTCACTGCCATAAAGTAGGACGGAACGAACTGCTGCGCAGTAAACACGTCCTTTGGTTGATAGACGGATATCTCGCCTACGCCATAAATGACGCAAGTTGGCAAAAGCTAGTCGAGCCTTCTGTATCCGTGCTGAGATTTCGTCACACACCAGACCACAAGGGCTGATGAGACTTCCAAGATAAGTGAAGCAGTCGACACACTCAATTACTTCACTCCCTATCACTACTTCGGGTATCAATGCAACCCAATTCTGAAGCAACATTTTTCATTTCGAGGGGGAGAATCGCATCCCGAACATGCTTGCATTGTTGCTTAGAGTGGTCGGAAGACTCTGCCTTTTGTCAGCGTCTTTGCCAAATAAAACTATGTCATCAGCATATTCTAAGTCAACAAGTGAACCTCCTGGTAGAAGTTCAACCCCTGTAAATTTAGATGAGGAAAGTGTTATCTCTAAAAGTACGTCAATGACAAAGTTGAACAAGAATGGAGAGAGTGGGCAGCCCTGACGAACACCACTTGAGGTGATCAATTCTGATGACAGTTCGCCATAAGCTCTCACTCTACCAGTTGTGTTCGAGTAGAGAGCCTTTATAAGGTTAATGTACTTCTTTGGTACTCCTTTCAGTGACAAACACTGCCATAGAACCTCACGATCAATAGAGTCGAATGCCGCCTTAAGGTCGAGAAATACTACCATTGTGGGGCGTCTGAATGTGTGTCTGTGTTCCAGAACCTGACGTAGTGTGAATATCTGATCTATACAACCACGTCCAGGTCGAAAACCAGCCTGGTTTTCTCTAGTCTGCTCTTCACGAGCTTTAGTTAGGCGTCAAAGTATGATTGAGGCTAATATTTTAGACACTATATTAGTCAAACTGATTCCTCTGTGATTGTCACAAGAGGACTTTTGTCCTTTCTTATAGACTGGCACAATCAGTGATTGAGACCAGTCAGATGAGATTACGTCCAGTTCCCAAATTCTACCTAAGACCTCGGTTAATCTCATTGCTAATACTGGACCACCATCCTTAAAAATCTCAGGAGTAAACCTGTATTCTCAAATCAACTCTCGTTATTCGACTTATTTAATTCCGTTATTGGATAACGCGATCTAAGTCGACGATGATAATCGAGAATAGGTGATAGCAAACATTCGTACAATCTAAAAGGGAGTCTTCCACACGGGCCTCCACAACATTGGTAAGCCCGCCGACGACGAACGCAACGCAGCAAGCTACGTCGATGAAGGAACTTCTGCACTCTATACGTTCGACGAACAAATTCAGCGAATCCAGCGCAATATCCAATCCGATGCAAACACCAAAGCCTGTGCATCATGGTATGGACATGCTCAAGTCGTATTATCTTATCGATACTTTGTACTCACGTCAACCATTCTCATTGATTCATTCGTCGGCTTGCTCCATTACGATTTAAATTATCATTATATGCTTATTATTACATTATTGCCAATATCACGACCGAATGTGGAATTATTAATCTTGTTCGTGCTGTCACTAAACTGACATTTTCGCAATCATATTACTCATCAAACAAATTATCATTTTATGAAAATTCCACTCCACTTTGTGAGAACTCATTAGGATAATTTTACTATTCAAAAACGTGAAATTTTCCTGCTTTAAGTGAGTTCGTTCCAATTTTTTTCATGTCATTTTGATCTAATATTGCATTCATTCACTTAGTCGAGGTCCGCAATTTATGTTATCACAACATACATTTTTCATTTCGAAATCGCCTCCTATTATGTCTGTGGATGCTTCTGACTAGCTGATTAGTAACCATTACGCTCATTTTATCTATTCTTCCACGTGCATAACTACACTCTGCATCACTTATCACTGGAAAACGCTATTCGAGTACTGCAACTACTATTCTATTCTATACCCATCGCTCGGTATATCAGAACATAGAGTTTAGAGCTAGCCTCTCAAAGATACACTCTTGTTCGTCACATCCAAGTCAGTCTCATACGTCACCATTACTAATCATATGTATTGGTATTTTTGTCATGCCTTGGTACGGTTTTGTAACAAACGAGATCGAGCGCATCTCCCTCAAACCATTCTAGGCTTCATGACCAAAAAGGAATACGACTCTACGTACCTCGTCTACTCAGTCACTATTCTGTTCCTCTGGTCATTCTACTAATACATATTCAACGATAACTCGATGCATCTGTCATAACGCAGACGACAACGTTCACTGACTTCATATTTTTTGATTATTATCAATTTCAGTGGAGCAACGAATATCACCCGTCGATGCACATATCATTTCACGACTTAACTATTATCATCCTACGAACGGGAACTACGCATTTAAATTCGAATTCACTCATCGCTAGTCGATGCTATTTATCCTGCTGCGGTTCAACAGAACATATATTTAACGTATTTCACTATTTCGTCAGCATCACAGATCAATTTCTATCATATTCCACTGTACTCATTTTGACGATTTATTTCCCTGTCATACCCACAAACAATTTATTACTGTTTTCACGATATTTTGAATCGCTCATACAAACTTGTTATTTTATCGTTCAGACAATCACAGCATTAGTACATGTAAATTTTTTGTACGCTCATTAATTTGCTCATATTCGCATATTAACGTTTCCATTTTTGTCCGCGTCTTTTCTATATTCATGTATTCTTTTGCATAAGTATGACATTTTCATATAATACACTCAACCCTCATGTGACACTGTACTTTATCGAGTGTTGTACAATTTTTTTTTGCTACTTACAGTTAACGTTAACTACGCACCACTTCACTGTTATTTTCGAAAACAGCCATTTTTTAAATGTGCTATTTTCTACAAGGGGGCTATGTAGTGTCAGTTATTATGGCAAGCCCATGTACCTTATTCTAACTTCCGGACATCCTATTTTATTCATTTTACTTGAGCCATATTTTGACCTTGTCAATTATTCGCTTATTAGCCTTGACTGTTTTCACATGAGCGTATATGTGTGTACATTTCATGTCCCATGATTCATCATATGTCTGTAGCTTATTTTGTCTGCCTATAAATACTGAGTAACGCTTAATTAAAATGGAGTTGGCTTCCCAGCCATTTTCCATACGTGTCAAAATTGCTTTGTTATGGCTCTCGCTCGCTTAGCATGCGAACGGGCATCCACAGTATTTAGCCATAAAAAGTTATATCCATTAGAGGTACCATTGTTTTGTACTGAAGTGACATAATTATGTAACGTATCTGAGAAAAAAAATATGTGAGTAACAATTGACGTTTATAGTGTTGTCCAGCGGCTTTCTGAACGTCTGCAGTAATAGTGTATAACACCACATCAAGTAGGAACAAAACCTTCATGAATAAAACGATCGGTGTTTCTTGTGAGAATGGTGACACAACCATGCTTTTTAGTTAATACTGATTTGTGACGTGTCTGTTATAGGGTTCACAAATGAGTTATTATATACTCTTCACTCCGTCTCGGTAATACAGTTGTTGTGTTACTTAGGAAGTTATGAATGAATGTCACTACTTGTTAATAAAAGACTTATAGGCACAGTCTGTTACTTGCTATTTGAATAACTTATTGAATATGATACTGAGAACAAAGTTTAATTGTTTGTCTCAAAACGGATTTGTTGTTTTTCAGAATAGTATGAAGCTTATGGAATTTAGGATTACGGAAGATCGTGTGGAAAACCGGTTTACAAGTTTACGATAACTGTTTTATATTGCCTACTGCTATGCTCATTCATCTAATGAATTATTTAAATATAAATATAACAACCATACGCAGTGTTTTATATTATAAATCCTGTAAGTTTGTATAATTATGGTCTAAATAAAGCCAAAACAAATATTGACGCAGAATCATGTGACTGCATTACATTTCGTGGTTTCTCATAAGTTGCATACAACTGAATATGCATTATAATTTAAGATTGAGGGAAGAAATAGTATGAAAGATAATAGAAAGCAAAGAATTGGAATGACCTAGGTTATCAATAATAACTATACATATGTATATGCTTGAACAGGTCAAAGGTCATTTGGTGTTAGACTTAAGGGAACATAAAGGATGGGTGGTGTAATAGTCGGGTGAAGCTCAGAAGCATATAAGATAAATTGTGTGATAATTCTAGATGTAATGAATAAATCAGTGAATTAAGAACTAATAAGATAAGTGAAGACAATCTGAAGAGTTAACATAATTTAGCAAAGAAGTGTGAGTGGAAGGGTGGTCTAAGGATTACGTAATCCATCTTATCAAGGAACTAGCTGCATGAAATTGTCTAGTTCCATACTAACACTAACTTGATAATGGACATAATCTGACAACGGAAAATATGTAAGGCGGTTGTTTAATCTGTAAGGTTTTACGTGGAAGTCGCATTATTGTTTTATTTAACTCGTTGATTCCTCACAATGAACAACGATATAACGCTAAGTTCTAACGACAGTTCGTAACTAATACAGTAGTACAAATTCTTAATTTTCACACACAATTATTCGTTAAAGCGATTGGTAAACCTCCCCCATGAAAGTATGAAGAAGACGAAAATAAAAAATGAGAAAAAGTTTATTGATTTTTCATGACTACTAAAGTGGAAAGATAAGTTTACAAGTTGTATAAATAGTGGTCTAAAATAAAGCCACAAAGAACTGTTAATCGTAAACCTGCTGTCTAGCTGTTTATAATTCTTAAGTAAGAATTGTAGACTTTTCTCTCCACCTGATTCGCGAAGCGTTCACCATATTTCTCAACAATTTGTTGTTTGCACATTCTTTGGAGCCGTTGAAGTTGTATATATTCTTTACTCCGTCTCGGTAATGAAATTCCTGTGTTGTTTTGTAAATTGTGCGTATTGTCTAATTCCCATCTGCAGCAACACCTAAGAAGTTGATGAGCTATGCAGTTTATATTTTATAATTTAAATAGCTTACCTGTTAGATTTCGTCTTTTAATATATGCCAGCAGGAGATGGCGGCACGGATATCGATACATATTAAACGTGCTACAATTGCATTCACAATTACTTACATCCACTTCGTAATGTTGTCCGCGGTCAAGCATAAACAACCACTCGCCGCTTTCATATTCTAAGTTAACGAAACGCATTTTTTTAAGTTCGTATAACACTTTGGATCTTGCGAATGGGGTCAACATGTTCAGCAAGGGTATAAGACGCTGTGGAGCATCATAATTGTATGTTCGTCCACTGATTATTTGGTCTTCAATGCTTTTTCTAGAGAATGTCATTGAACTCCACTTAAAAGCCTTGTACATGCATTTGTGCAAGCTGTCGCTTTTGCGTACATATCTTTTTATCTGCCTATTTAATGACTCAACACGATTATTCGTGTTGTTACCCAAAGTTAATATACTGCCGTAAAAGGCACGCGCCCACATTTTTTTACGTGGAATAATGAATATCTACATAGTAGAAAACGAAAATCATACTCACTTTTTATTATTAGTTTTATAAGTAGAATCAATACACACGACTTCGGGATATTGATTGTACAGCCGTATCTGATCATAACTGCTGAAGCATATCGCCGTAATACATCCATTTTCTGCATGCTCTCTAACTTCACCGTTTTGTCGCATCATCTGCAATACCTGCTTCCGAGTCCAACCTGAAATATATTTATATACGCTTACCAGTGGAGAGTTCAGCTTTCATATTTTTGACATCAGCAGCGGTCACCTGCTTACCTGTTCTTTCCTTAATACTTTCGATAACTTCGTCCGTCGACTGACAGTGCAATATAACTGGTTTCAAGTTTTCTTTTTCTTCTGATGACAATCGTCTACTCAACGGATCACAAACCATCCACGAACTAGTACACGGATGGTTGTGAGACATGTTGTAAGATTTTATAACGTATTGTTGACCCTCCAATCTTACGCGAAACATCGATTGGCAATTTAAAAATTTAGACCTTAAATGTAACACATTAGTTAGAGTCCTTACGGTTTTTTATTCACATTCAGACCTTCTGATTTACGTTTACGACCAAACGTGCAACGAAACACTACGAACAAGTATTTATATCTCACATCCTTCAACAATCTACTTTCTGCGTGAACATAGTGTGTATGGGTCATCTAAGAAAACATAGATTTATCCTATCATACTTTATGGAAATCCTTTAGCGCATTATCTAATTCAATCCAGCTTCCGAATCTCTTGTTCAGCATAATACGTTGGAACGCGTCGCTTACGTTCACTGAAATTTCACTTGAGCATGAAGCACTAGAGACAACATACAATAGTTATTAAAAAAAGGTTATTCCTTGAAAAAATTAACTGAAGGAAGAACAACAAATATTTAGGACTTACCCTTCAGTTGACATTTCGTCTTAAATCACAAAAACTAGGCACATCTATAACCTTTTACGTTATTTTACCTTTCTTACGTTGTTTTCTGGACCTTATCAACAAATTATATTTAGCTGTTGACTTTCACTACAGCACTTAGGACCACAGATCAAGTTTCGAAGGAACAACAGGCTAAAGTGTGCACTACAAAACAGAAAATACTCAGTTAATGCTCTTAGCAGTTATTTAGTGTTTATTATGCATCAAAAGACGACTTATATATGGAAACATTTAATACTCATAGGACCCAACACACACACGGCAATTGAAATACGGAATGCCCGCTTCCAGTCAGCGCGTTCAAGGTCGTTGAAACGAAACGGCGGACAGATTTGACAGGGATTACCGTTTTTACCTTGCCCGCGAATTCGGTTACGTTCTGTAACCAAGGTTGTATCCTGGCACGATCTCGATGCCACGAGATCGCCAGCAAATATAACTCGACTTGGTCCATTACTTGCCTTCTGATATTTGACTTCTCGGGGATTTTATGGATTTATTTGGTTATGTCCAACCTTCGCCTTCTGATTAACTTGGCACGTGTTTCTCTGTAGCGGTGTTCATAGTTAACCTCAACTCGACACCACGCTACAGATTATTTGGAAAGGTTTGAAATCTAGAGCATGACTAAGAAAGATGTTAAAGATGATAAAATTGTGGCACATTTCCCAACATTCATTGGGAGAGAAGCGTACAGCTTATTAAAAACTTTGGCATATTCAGGAAGTTATGATTAAATAGTTAGTGATCTTGAAGGTGTTGAAGTTTATCAAGATGATCTCATTGTTCATGGTTCTAATAAGGTAGTTCATGACCAGAGACTTATTGCTTTATTGCGTCGTTTAATTGAGAAGAATATTACAGTGAATCCAAATAAGTGTTCATTTTGTGTATCTAGTTTTGAATGCCTTGGATACCTAATTGATGGTAATGGTTTTAGACCAGATATGAAACGACTTGCTCCACTGACAAATGCACCGTCTCCGAAAAATCTTAGGGAATTACGTTCACTAGTGGGTGCTCTTCAATACTATCCCCGTTTTATTCCTAATTTTTCTTGTCGTACAAATTGTTTATTTAATATTTTGACATCCAATTCATTCGAATGGAGTGAGGAACAAGAGTCATGCTTACGAAGTCTACTAAAGTTTCTTCAAAGTGATGCTGTTCTTCGAACGTACTCCCCTAATGCAAATTCTGTGCTTATTACTGATGCATCACCTGTGGGAATTGGTGCAGTTTTGGAACAGGAAGGTAGACCTGTTATTTGTGTTTCACGCAAACTTACTGTTACTGAACAAGGCTATTCACAGACTCAGCGAGAAGCATTAGCGGTGTTTTGGGCTGTTAAAAGACTTCATAAATATTTATTCGGAAAGAAATTCACTAATGTTACGGATCATGAAGCTTTAAAGTTTATTTATCATCCTGAAAAATCCTTAGCACGTTCCTCAGCTGCTGTGGTTCAACGATGGAGTATGGCTTTGAGTGCATATGACTATACGTTTCAGCACAGAAGTGCCAAACAAATTCAACATGTCTGAAGCCTGGCAGAGAATTCATGCTGACTATTGTGGTCCGTTTCTTGGTAAATACTATGCACTAGTAGTTATTGATTCTTTTTCAAAGTGGCCTGAAGTTTTTTTCACAACTTCACCAAATTCTTATTTCACAATCCAAGACGCAACCAAGACGATATACAGGCACTTCAGGAGGATCTGACTCGACTCCAAAGTTGGACAGACGATAACGGACTTACCTTTAACACTTCGAAGTGTAAAGTAGTCCATCTGCGACATGTCACATACTACAGTTATAACTTAGGTACCTCCTCTCTAGTAGTATCCCAAGTCGAAAAAGATTTAGGAGTCCTGGTGCCCTCCGATTTAATGTCTAACGCTAACTGTGACAAAAATGCCATCCGAGCAAACCTTGCACTGGTAATATTGATGCGCATTTTTGGCCAGTTTGACGGAAGAACTTTCCATATAATCTTCAACAGTTTGTAATGACTCACGTTTATCACGAGAACACGACTGGTTTAATAAAAACAATTATTATTATAACCAATTGTACCAGTGCTTGTTTTAATGTGCTTCGGTTTGACTGTGCTAATGACAGCTATTTTGTGCTTCCATTCTTATACTTACACTTTGATTGTGACTTCGCGCGAATTCGGTTACGTTCTGTAACCAAGTTTGTATCCTTTCGATACCACGAGATCGCCAGCGAATATATCTCGATTTGGTCCATTAACTGTCTTCTGATATTTGGCTTCTCAGAGATTTTATGGATCTATTTAGTTACGTTCGACCTTCGCCTTCTGATTCATTTGGCACGTGTTTCTTTGTAGCGGTGTTTATAGTTAACATCAACTCGACGCCACGCTACAAGTTCTATTCGTCCCTATTTAGAGTACGGAAACATAGTATTTCCCCCCCGTCATTCCAAAAGGATAAGGACACCCTGGAGCGAATCCAACGGCGAGCCACGAAATCAGTTCGAGGACTCAAATTTAAACCTTACGAAGAGCGCCTCCATTCACTTAACCTTTACCCATTAGAGTATAGACGTCTTAGAGGTGACCTTCTGATGGCTTATAGTATCCTTAACACTTCTGGACACCCTCTCAAACACCTACTTAAGCTTAGTTCCAACACTAACCTAAGAGGTAACATAACAGAACGGACTGTAGACACAACCTCTACTCTTTAAGAGTTGTCAAATGCTGGAATTCGCTGCCGAGCGAGCTAGTCCAAGCGACTTCCCAGGAGTCCTTTAAGAGGCAACTATTCTTAAGGACTAAGGATAGTATCACACTATGATTTACTAATTTCTTTTCCTCTTTTATTGTTAACAAACCTAGGTTCCTGCCTGGAGGATTTGGTGATCCCCTGCTACTAGACACGGAAGCCTGTTAAGCGAAAGCTTCTTCCATTCCGTCCACAACCATTTCAACCATTAAGAAAGGTGTTTACTCGAGAAGGGGTTCCTGTGATATTAGTGACTGATAATGGCTCTCATTTTGCTGCAGATGCAGTCACTACCTGGTTGAACGGTATAGGGTGCAAACATCTGTTTACTGCTCCCAGACATCCGTGTTCTAATGGCCAGGCAGAGAATTTTGTCAGGACATTAGAGACTGCTATTGATTCTATAGCCGCCCCAACATTTAATGAGCTGGAGGGGGAGTAGATACCTTTCTATTGCAATATAGAAATGCCAGGCATTCGGTGACGAAGGAGACTCCAGCGAAGCTACTGAGAGGAAGAATTCTTCGGTCGAATATGAGATGTTTGGAGTCTGCAGAAGTTACATACTATCGAGGAAATGATCTTCGACCATCTATGGGTATTGTTCTGAAGAATGTCGGAAAATCGATGGTGCAAATTGTAGACATCAATGACTTAAGTACACACAGTCGACATGCTGATCAAATACAATTTCAGGAACCAGGTGAGTCAGTTACAATTTCGGTTGCTAATTCTAATGCTAATGAGTACATTCTAGATAATACAGAATCCTTATCCAATACAATGTCAGACAGACTCAGGATAAATTTGAGAAGAAGACGTACGATTGATTACAAACACCTAAACTCCAATTTAAGCTGTGGCGCATGTGGTGTTTGAACGAACTAATGATACCTTTGTACTTGTTGAATGCTCGATTTCGAATTCCAAATACAATACATTCGTTTGTGCTTGTGTCGTAATTCTTGATTCGATTTCGTTATTTCTGGGACTCTTAGTTCGTACTATAATTCAAATTATTGGGAATATTATATGTTGATAAGCTCGTAAAATAAAATATTGGCTTGTTTATTTTTATGTACAATTAATAAAAAATTAACTACAGTTCACCCGTTTATTATTATGACAATTTCTCTTATTAAAAACATTGACAAAACAAGTGGTCGTGAAGAAATGTAATTAATTATATGTACATGTGAAGAAAGGAAATAGTTTTTACTAGAAAATCGAGTAAATTTGGCCTTGTGATATGTATCCCTGAATGTTTTTGCTTTCATTAGTCTGCAAAATGTACCTAACGTTTAGGTTTCTTTATAAGTCTACTGGAGCGTGTTAAACAAGAAGGGTTAGTATTAAGTTTTTCATCCTCCATTGGTTTTTCAGTAGCTGATGAGAGGGGTTGCTTGTCGACAGTGTTGTCTTCTTTGACTTGAGTAGCTTCGTAGAAAGCAGGTTTTATTCTGTCTATAGAAATGGTCTCCTTGTTGCCATTTCTGTTGATGATGAAGTACTTTCGTGTGTGTTTATTTACTTTATACAGGCCTTCGTTTGATTGTTTTAATGGTTTTTACCGCATCTACTCGGACGAAAACGAATTTGCACGTTTCAAGGTGTTTATCAAGTTGGACTCGATTGTTGTGTTCGCGAGGGGGCATTGCTTTAATGTTCTGCATCGTTTGTAATAGGCGGCTTACGAAGCGAGTAGAATCCCCTGGAGTTGTAGCTTGATAGTTGACTAGTTGACCAGGTAACGTCAGAGTTGTGACAGTAGTTGAACGAATCCCGAGCAGTACAAGCGGTAAGGCGTCGCTCCACTTTGACGAGTCAGCTTGCACCATCAGTGAACTTTTTAATTGGCGATGGAATCTTTCAACCATGCCATTAGCTACAGGATGATAAGCTGTTGTTTTGATGTGGTTTATCCCGAGAAGTTTAGTGAACTCCTGAAATAGGACGGATTGAAATTGGGCACTACGATCTGTAGTGATTATCGACGGTACTCTATAGTTCGGTATCCAGCGATCAAGGAAAACTGATGCAACTGTTTCTGCAGACATGTCTTTCATGGGGCATGCTATGATCCATCTGGTGAACCTGTCCACCGCGGTGAGGATGTGCCTGAAGGAATTTGACGGTGGCAGGGGGTCAACTAAATCCAAATGAACATGTTGGAAACATTTGTCGGGAGTAGGAAATTCCCCAATTGGGCTGATAGTATGTTTCTGGATCTTGCTGCATTGGCACTAAAGACAGCTACGTCTCCAACGTTTAATATCCCAAGTGATTTTCGGCCAAAGGAAGCGTTCTGTTATGAGCTTTGTGGGAGCTCTAATACCTGGGTGTGACAGACCATGCAGGTGTTGAAATATTTTTCGGCGACAAGCATATGGGATAAAGGGACGATTATTACCCGTTGAGGTGTCCCAAATGATGAATGCATCTGAAAAAGGAATCGGTACAGGTTTGAGATTCAAGCTAGACTTTTCTTTGCAGACCTCCAAATCTGCATCGTCTACTTGTAATTTAGCCAAGGTTTGGAGGCTGATGTCGTGGTTGAGTACCATCATATTAA